AGACACAGACACAATCACAGACACAGACATGACACTGCCATGCTTTAGTTCTGCTCATATAGCATGGAACTGAATGAGTAATTACTAGAGTAAAACCTGAAAATTCCTCAATCAATACCATAGTATTAACACTGCTATACTACACTTTGGCACTTTACTTAAATACATACATACAGGACACTAAATTTAAGGATTTATACCATCTTCTCATTAAAATAAGAAATACATTTCTTTATTGTTCATCTTTTATGTTTGTTAAAGGCTGATCATTCAGGTTTGAATAAATTAACTATTAAACATTTACAATAACAGGTGATAATTAAATAAATAAAAGGACAATGTAAGCTATGAATATGAGTTATTATATAAGTTACGTGAGCATAATGTAATAAAGAGGGAGGCTAATGTGCTAACAGAACAATCCTGCCTTGAGAAACACATTAAACACTCGCACACTGTATTTAATTAAATCACCTGCTTCACATGACATTAATACAACACAAGAGATGTTCCTATAGTTTCAGCTCATGTGCTATTCATGTAAAATCACAGATAATAACGTGACGGGAAGCTAGCAGGGTAGCACGCAGCAACGCTCACAGAACACTTCAGAGAAATGCATTTAAAACTTACCAGCGTAAACAAACACCGCGGAGACACACAATAAAACATAATTGTGTGTGAAAACCGGAAGCCTTATTTCCATCCTTTAGATGATATTTCATAAATATCGTCTCCGCGTTTGTTTACAGCATCAGACAGAGCCGAACAAACTCTGATCTCAGATCAGATCCTCTGTTTATCACAGTTCTAATGTACTGAGTGTAATGCTGATCTCTGCAGCGCTGGGGAAAGCTACTTTTAAAGTTATGCGTTACAATGTTGCGGTACTGTCGTCTCCGCGTTTGTTTACAGCATCAGACAGAGCCGAACAAACTCTGATCTCAGATCAGATCCTCTGTTTATCACAGTTCTAATGTACTGAGTGTAATGCTGATCTCTGCAGTGCTGGGGAAAGCTACTTTTAAAGTTATGCGTTACAATGTTGCGGTACTCCATAAAAAAGTAACTAATTACGTTACTTAGTTACTTTTTATGGAAAGTAATGCACACTTCAGCAATAAACAAAGACACACAGATGTTCGTCTAGAGTAATGTGTGATTATTAGTACGCTTGAACTGGATCATCGAAGCTCAGAAGCTAATAGAATGGGATTAAATACATAAAGCATATTTGTGTTGTTTAACATTTCATTATTGCAGGTTTGCGTCATATTCTGAGTTGCATTATTTTTATTCATTTTGAGGAATACTGAATCTGTGTGTTTTTGTGTGAGTGAGATGAATTAATGCATATTCATATTTATTTTAGAGCTACAGTAACATCTTCTGATTTCTGTCACCATGGGGACAAATTGGGAAAAAATGTAACTTTCGTTACTTATTTGAAAAAGTAACTCAGATATTCTCTTGTAAATTAAAAAGTAATGCGTTACTTTACTAGTTACTTGAAAAAAGTAATCTGATTACGTAACTCACGCTACTTGTAATATATTACCCCCAACACTGCTCTTTAGTGTCCTGAGTCTGACCACGTTTTGTTCATTTTGTCTATCTTTGTTTAATATTATATATATGTTTTTTATCAGAATATATACGTGTTTTATTTGATGTGTTTTAAGTGATTTTGATTGGACACAGGTGTTTGTGGATCAGATATATCAGAAAAGCACCTGCAGAGCCCTGATGGAAACACCTGGGTGTATTCCAGAAAGTGGGTTTTGTTGGAAACTCAGAGTTTCCCATCTCAGGGTAAGTCAACTCCGAGTTTGTTGAACCTGCTTTCTGGAACACACCCCAGGTTACCTCCCGAGTCGACCCAGATGACTTACAGTAAGCGGTTCATCCGAGACATGCTTCGGAACGGTTAACCAGCTCAACCGAGTTAAACCCAGGTGTTGCATCAGGCTGAAGCAGATGTTTGAGCATCAGAAACATGAGGTTTGATGATCAGAGCAGCAGATCATGAACAGAAGGAGTGTGTGTGTGGTTGAGCTGAAGTCTGTTTATAGACTCATCCGGGTTTATTCAGAAGGAGATGTATTAAATAATCACATATTTCATCTGTTTTGAGTGTTGGTTATCTGTCACTGTGTCACTGATCACAAACAAGATGAGTGTTTAGTCATGCTGTCAATATAACGGTCACTCTGTCAGTGTTTCCTGATGTAAACTATGGATGTGGTTTGGATGACAAAGAAACACAAGTTTGCTTTTTTTTCTGCATGGCATATCAGATTCAACTGTATGAAGTTGCACATTTCTGCTTGTTTACCTATCAAACAAATTACAGTATAAATGTCATTGTGATACAGAAAGGAAAAAGATGTTTTATATTTGATCACCATGACATGAGAAGTTTATAATGTAGGAAACAGCAGAGAGCTGTATATAATATATGCCAAAGCATTGGCAATTTGCTAGAAAATAGAAATAGAACAAATACAAAAACACAAGGCTGTTTATGGCACAGAGAACAACAGAAACACAGCATTAGAAATCCAGTACTGTAGGAAACGACAGTGTTTCTGCAGATTGAGACACAGATTCTTCTCATCATGACAGATATTTATAACTGTGTTCATATTTTCAGTTTCAACTCTGATCTGATGAATGACACAAAGACGCACAGGTTCCAGTCAGTCAAATGCCTTTCAAACAGAAGTGTGTAGAAGGCACCACCCTGACTTTAGTGATGGACACCTGTCCGGAGATGTCTGGAGGATTCTTCACGTCGCAGCT